TCTACCCCTCCTACAGCCGCACCAAACACAAGGCTAACACGATACAAATTTAAACTTTTGAAGCGACACCCAGGTGTGCTCTTTACCCAGCCCCCTTCCATTTCATTTACTTCTCTTAGGTCTGGAAAAGGTGAGCAAATTGACACAAGACTAAAAATATCTCCCATATATGAGTTCCTACCCTTTTTCAAACACTCAGAAGATGACATGTCTGGGCAGTGAATGGTCCCTTGCTCCCCACCGAAGACCACTTTTCAGCTAGGACAGCGATGTACAACCCTCCGCAGTGTGTGACAGTGTCCATGGGTTCAGAATAGAATACTTTGGGGGGAACCTAAGTGTCCTCCTTCAGATGCACTGATTTCAGCAGAGCCCTCAAACAAAATTTGTCCTAATTTCCCCCTCTCATTTTTTTACTCTTCTCCAAGGGATTGGTCTGTGCCTCTTCTCGAACAGTGGCAGAGTGCTTTGGTTTAGACCATGAACATTGATGCTCAAACTGCCTGGAATCAAAACCTGGTTGATTACTTCCTGGATGCGTGACATTGAACATGTTGCTTCACCTCTCTGTACTTCAGTTTTCTCCCCTTTCAACTGTAGATTAGAATAGCATCTCAGTCCTAGGATGATTGTTCTGTTTAAATCTTTTAATAAATGAAAAGTGTACTGAACAGGACCTAGCAAAGAGTACTTGCTATGCAAATATTTGCTGTACACACACACACACACACATCCTCACACACACACACACACACACACACACACTCATTCCCATTAACATGAATTTTGGCTTCTTTGCCTCTTTTACTTAAGGAACTAATCTCTCTTATTAATCTCATTAATCGTTAATTTGATATGCCAGATATTCTAATGCATGACAGGAGAGTCTCAGGCAAGGCTTCCTGAATGAAAATGTTCCACAGTTCTCCACACTGTTCAGCCTAATATTTAGAGTATTCAATGAAATCTTTCCAAGTCATTCCTATGATCAAATATTTACCCTACTATCCAACAAAAACAGATTCCCTATTCCCTGAGGATTCTCTGAACTTTTTATAAGTCATATATTGTTCTATTTCCTCAATCATCAATATCTGCCTATTTTCCTTTAGCCACTACCTCAAAATTTACTTTTATTATGAAGACGTTCTCTAATTCTGTGGTCAAAATGATTTTCTTCCTGTTGCAGTTACGTCTTGGTAATGTTTTATACCTCTCTTTTTGCAAAAAAGAAAATAAAATACTTCTTTTTTTTTTTTGAGGTGTAATTTACCTACAGAGAAATGTTCTAAGCTTACAGGTTAGTGAGTTTTGACAAGTGCATATCCCTATGAAATGCACATTCCTTTACTCCAAAAAGCTGTCTTGAATCCCTTCCCAGGAAAGCCTTTTCATCTCTCTCAAGGAAAGTTGTTCTGATGTCTATCATGATAGTTTAGATTTGACTGCTTTAGAACATCTTATGAAATCAGGTAGTAGATATTCTTGTGTGTGTATTAATCATGAATTAAAGGCCCCCAAACAAAGTTATGACAGAGGGCAGCCTATGGTGAGAGGCAGCAACAGTCCCTCTGTGTTACATGATGCCTGTCTTAAGTCTTTCCTATGGAATCTGGTTGGGATCCCAGAGTGTCTGTCAGAGAGTAGATACTCTATAAATATTTGAGTTGAGTTACATATTAAATGTGGGATTGTAGAGACAATGACTTCACCCAATGTTGGAAATTCAGACAGGAGAGTCATATTACAAGCCGGTATTTCTCATCCTTCTCATATGATATCCATTTTTCTTTCCCATGTTTTAGAGATTAGCCTACGTTACAATCATGCCTACGTCCATTCAGTCAATCACGAAAGCCAAACTCTTGATCTTGAGAAGACATGGGCAAGGCCTAGACAGTGCTTTGTCTAGTGTTCTATTAGAAATCTGCTTAGAGTACCTCAAGAAGTTTTACATAAAATGATACTCTTACAGTGTTTACGTAGAGCATAATGAAATGACAAGTTGCATAACTTGGCACATGTTATGCATTATCTTGCTGTCACTGAATTGGTAATATCTGTTTAATATGTATAAGTAATACAGCCTTCCCCAAAGTATATCATCTTGTCAAAATAAAGAAATGTTCAAATCCCTCTTGGCTATATGCTTGGTGTACTATTGAAGGAGAACTTTTTTTACATTTGGAAGGAAGGGAATCTGAAATACCCAACATTGGCACCTAGGGGCTCTAAAATTTATGGAGGTCACAGAAATTCAGATTATGTGTGGAAATCTCTTAATTGTTTTTTTTTTCCCACTAAGATTATATAACTAACAACAGCCACATATTTGTACCTGCCTTCAAGTAGTCTATTTTGGAAGACCACACCCTAATTTCTTGTTGCAGGACTCTCTGGGGTTGGTTCAAGCACGAAGTTACAGAAAACCAGAAAAAATATTTTTCCTTGTTCTATTTCTCAATCATTTTTTAATACAGTGCCCATTCTAACCACCCAGTCCTAATACCACACATCTATCATCAAATGACAAAGATATGCCATAGCTGGGGAAAGTCTTGAGAATGTGCTTTACCTCCAAGAAAATCCCAAAGGAAACATTCTAAAAATATAAATAACACACAACATAATTTCAATGAGAACATAGCTTGGGAACATCTCATTACATATATGGAGTATACATTCAGATGTAGTGATACATACAGAAATACAGAAATATGATAATACATTTAACATCCTTGCTTTAGTGACATCAGGCCTCTGAATCCAGCCTGATGGAAATGTTTACTTGGTCTTCATGTGCCAGGCACAGGGTCTGCAATACCAAAAAAGATTGACACCTTTCCTGCTTTTCCAGGGCAGAAACATTAAAGACGTAATTACAAAAAAAAATAACAAAATAAAAAAGACGTAATTACAAAAATGGTCTTTGAATTTATTTGATGTGTGTGTGAAAAATCCTTTGAGTATATTTAAGATCTAAATGCATGGCTTTTCTCTGTAGGCTCTCGCTCAGAGCTTTGACTCTTGTTGTAGTAAGTATGATGATGTAGTTCCCTGGTATGTCGCAGTGCAAAACTTGAAGCTTGAAAGAGTATACCCAGAAGAGATCTGCTAGGGCAGGCATCTGATGATAAATAACGGTTAAGTAACAGTGGAAAACTCATAACAATATACAAAAGAGACACAGAACTGTAGCTTAGTTCAAAAATTCAATATTATTCCAATGTATATCTTTATGTACGTGACTTTTTTTTTTTAAGCGGAACTTACCTGGAAGTACACACAAAAAAATGTATGAATGTTGGGCAACTCTTATGGTGACTGGAAGATAAACGATGAGAGGTGGTAAAGCATTAAAAGCTCATATTTATTCTCATCCAGGACCACTTCAAACACCAAACCAGATGAAGCTCAAAGAATGTTCTTCAGGAATCTTAGGGTTCATCAGTTTTCCTTAAAAATAACTATAAAAATGAATTCCATCATGCCACTAAAAAGAGTTTCAATTCAATCCTGCAGTCTCCTTTATAAGATAAAAACCATGAGAACAATACAAATAAATAATTTACACTGACAAAATAGAGAATTTGATTGAGATGGAAAATTTTAGACTTGAAATTAGTTTTGACTTTGGCTGTACAACCTTGTACATATTAGTCACTGTCTGTGCTTCTAATAGTGTCCCATTGCTGTTGCAGCAAATTATCACCAACTTGGAGGCTTTAAGCATATAAATATATTATGTTACAATTCCAAAGGTCAGAAATCTCAAACTGATCACACTGGGCTAAAATCAAGCATTTGGCAGGACTACATGTTTCTTGAGGCTGTAAAAGGGGCCTTGCCTCTTCCAGCTTCTGGAGGCCGCTCACTTTCTTTTTGGCTCACAAGCTCCTTCCTCCACATTCAAAATTAGCAATGTTGGCCAAGCCCTCTTCTGGCTGCCATCTCTCTGGTTCTCTCCTCTGATCCCCTCTTCCATTTTTAAAGACTCTTGTTATACGTGGGTCACACCTAGATAATCCAGGATAATTTCCCTATTTTGAGACCAGCTGATTAGGGACCTCACTTCTACTGTGCAGCCATTAATCCCCTTGGCCACATAATCTAGCACATTCACAGATTCGATGGATTGGGACACAGGAAACTCTTGGGAATGAATATTCTTCCAATCATAAGCTCTATTTTTCTCTTCTCTAAAAAAAGATTTTACTGATGCTATAAAGTGATATAGAAATAGGTGGAGGGGATTGAGAGGCACACATTTCCAGTTATAAAAATAATAAATCATAAATATGTAAAGTACAGCACAAAGAATATAGTCAATATCATTGTAATAACTTTGTGTGGTGACAGTGACTTGACATCATGGTGACCGTTTCGTAGTGTACATAAATGTGGGATCACTAGGTTGTACCCCTGAAACTAATGTAGTATTATCTGTCAACTCTACTGCAAGCATTTCACTAAAAATAAGGTGATATTTAGGTTTATGTTGGTATTATAACAGCACTTGTTTTCTGAATTTATGAGAAAATGTCTGCAAGACATGTTTAGAATTGTAAAAAAGTTATGCCTTTAAAATGACTTTATTCACCAAAAATGAATATTCACCAATTCAAATGAGGAACCTGGTAAGAAAGATTAATAATAATAAGAGCATCTACTATTTATTGAATACAGTAGACACAGTGTTAGGTCCATTTCCCACAGTAGTTCCAATCCTCACAGCAGTCTTGCAAATTTAGATTAACAATCTGCATTTACCGATGTTGAAACCAAGAAGAGTGAAATAACACAACAGAGTCACAGTTTAAGCTTCAGAGGCAGAATCTGGGCTTCAAATTCCATTTTATTTTCACCACTACCTTCTCCTTTTCTTTCTAATGTGACAAATAATAGAATTTTTTTATTTTTAACCTACAGAAATTCCCCTTGTTTCCGGAGTATGACATCGTGTCATCTGACAGATAAGCTTTCCAAATTAAAAAAAAAAAATGTTGGGGATCCCCAACAATGTCAAGACCACTGTCTGCGATACCCCACCCCGTGGCCTCAAGGTGGCAGTCACCTTCATTGGAAATAGCACAGACATCCAGGAGCTTTACAAGTGCATCTCAGAGCTGTTCACAGCCACGTTCCGGCGCAAAACCTTCCTCCACTGGTACACAGGTGAAGGCATGGACGAGATGGAGTTCACCGAAGCTGAGAGCAACATGAACGACCTTGTCTCTGAGCATCAGCAGTACCAGGATGCCACCGCAGAAGAAGAGGAGGATTTCGGTGAGGAGGCTGAAGAGGAGGCTTAAGGCAGAGTACCATCACCTTAGGCTTCTCCATTCCCTCTTCCCCAGCTGCCCCTGTCCTCTCCCTCAGAATGTGCATTCTCTGCCTCTTATTTTTTTTTTGCCTTTTTTTTTTGGGGGGGGGGAGGTGTTCCTAGAACAGTGCCTGACACGTAATAGGTGCTCAATAAATACTTGTCGTTTGTTGAATGTCTCCTCTCTTCCACTCTGGGAAACCTAGATTTCTGCTGTTCTGGGTGACCCTGTATTTTCTTTTGGTGTCCATTTTCCCGTTTGTGCAGTTGATATTTCCCTTTTTTTTTTAAGGTGATTCTCCGAGAAGCTGGGTCTCATTAGATCCCATTTAGAACATGTGCTGAAAACATTGCCACCATCCTAAGCCCATGTGGTAGCCCAGGGGAAAGGAAACCAAGCTACCTCATAGCAGTAGAGGTACCTATCGAGAAGGTAGGGTTTTCTATTCTAGAGCAGTTTTAGAGAGGGAAATCCAGGCTCTTGAAGTCCAAATCCAGGAATCTTCCTGCTCTCAGCTTCAGGGGAGATGTTGACAGTATTGTCTATTTTTAGTCTTCTTCCAAGCTCTGTCCTGAGCTGTTTCTTTTGAGGGGTCTGTGCCACTTTGTTGAGTGGGATCCTTCCCTCCTACATAAACTGCTTCACGTGTTCGATTTCTTCCTTTTCCCCAGGGGAAAGAGGGACTGGCCTTGATCCCTAAAGTCTCTGGAAAGGCCCCCTCCCACTCCCCACTTTTCCTTAACAAAACTCCAGCTCTGCTGTGTACATATGGAAAAGTGTGTATTGCCACCTAAATCATTTGAGTCATTCTTCCAGAGGGGACAAGGAGACCCTCCACCTTTTGGCAACACCTCAGCTCTTCCTTCTGCTATTCCCTTTCCCCACACACCCTTGATTTTTGTCCTGTCCTAAATTTCAAATTTGCACTTTGTGTTGAACTTGCTTTTTTTCATATTGAAAAGATACCATTGCCCCGAAAGCCAAAAATAAAAAAAAACTGAAAAAAATAAAGAAATAAAAAATGTTATCTTGAATATAATTACATTTAGTTTTTTGATACAGAATTGCGTAGATGTACTAATATTTATTTCATAGGCAAAAGGGGAATAAACCGACATAATTTAAGGGAAGGTGTGGTCATATGCAGACAAAGTGTCCGGTTCATTTGAGGCAAGAGGTAGTGTTGAGGAAGTTTCTGAAGGATGGAATAGAACTTAACCTAAACTGGTTGGTGCTAGGAATGGAGGTAGGGAAAGAATAGATCAGAATTCCAGGAAGAGGGATCACCAAAGACAAATGCAAAAACGTGAGACATTTTAGATATACTTAGGAACCTTTTGGCTGACACAGGTTGCATGGAAGGAAAATGTGTGAAATAAGGCTTGGGAGGCAGGCCAGCGGCTGAGTACTGGAGAAAGTTCACTGTTAAGGAAAGGTTTTTATGTTTCACTTAGCAGACACGTGGGATCTCGGAAGACTTGGGTTAGAGGAGATTATAATAATAATAAAATAAATAAAAATAAATAATTTTATTTATTTAACTGTTCAAGGTTGTATTTATTTATTTGACAGAGAGCAAGCACAACCAGGGGGAGCTCTAGAGGGAGAGGGAGAAGCAGGCTCCCCACCCAGCAGAGAGCCAGGAGCTGGAGCTGGATGCAGGGCTCCATCCCAGGACCTGCGATCCTGACCTGAGCCGAAGGCAGACTCTTCACTGAATGAACCCCCCAGGCACCCCTCTAATATAATGTATATGAAATATCCTTAGATTTTCACTGAAAATCTCTTTCTGAGTAACTTATTGAAAAATCATAATTTAGCAGGTGAAGATTTCCAAAGAGTGATTCAGCTGTTTGTTTGCTTATTCATTTATTTGTTTTTAGTGGCTTCCTGCAAAGGAAAAAAAAAAAAAAAAAAGCCTTACTTTCCGTGGTAGGGAAAGCCGTGATTATAAAAATAATATATCATCTCTTTACTAGGAAGAGGTGTTCTGGAACTGTGCTCTGCGTGCAGGGAAATTTGGGCTGGGATCGTGGATGGCGCTTCAGCAGCTAGTGGAAGGCAGGGCAGCTGCCCCCCCACCCCCGCTACCCCCTCCCCAGCTTGAAGAACTGTGACCTGAGGGGGGCAAGGCTGGGGAGGTGAAAGTCCAAAAGCTACAGAGGTGGAGGGCCTTCTGCTCCTTTCATCAGCCCTGTGAGCTTAGGCTGGTTGTTGAATGTGCAGTGCCTCAGTTTTCTTTTCTGTAAAATAGGAACTTTGAAACATTCTTGTCGAGTATGTTTTGTCTGTTTATGTTTTGCTTTTGTTTTGTTTTGGTGATAGGGATTGAAGGTAAAAAGTGAAAAAAGGGGTATAGGGTATAGCCACTAAATTAATAGGGGTTATCAGCATAGGATCACTCTCTTGCGGCTATATTTTTTAAGCATTGCTCAGAAGAATCTTTAAGCATTATTAGATAGAGATCAATAAAAACTATAAAAAATCAAGTATATTTTAATGTTGTATTTCTTTTTTAAGCTTTTATTTATTTATTCATGAGAGACACAGAGAGAGAGGCAGAGACACATGCAGAGGGAGAAACAGGCTCCCTGAGGAGAGCCCAATGTGGGACTCGATCCCAGGACCCCAGGGTCATGCCCTGAGCCGAAGGCAGATTCTCAACTGCTGAAGCACCCAGGTGCCCTATTTTAATGTTTTTATATTATTGTGATGATTAATGAAGTTTTTGGTAATATGTTTCAATTTTATAACAAAATTTAATACCCTATATATTAATACATTTATCACTTTATTTTCCAGAGGACACATAAATACGTTTTCACTACTCCTCACCCTGGAATGCGTTGTGAGGTTTTTCCATGTGTGAACAAAATTGATGCAAATTAAGGCCCACAGTGTAGATCTTTTTCTGTATTAGGGTGGAGCTTAAGAAACCTGAAAATAGTTTCCTACCTTGAGAAAATTAGTGAAACTTCAACAATAACCATTAATTACTCTTCTTTAACATACTATTAATCTACCTTGCATTATACTTGCCTGTGATGGATTCTCCTTCTGTCTCTTTCCCTCAAATCGAGATTTCAAAAGTTTCTCTGTCAATAAAGATTTTCACTCAGAAACATGACCCTACCATTGGTCGAGTTTATACTTTTAGTTCTTCTTTGATGTCAGGATTTTAAATTATTGGGAAAATTTTACCCTGTGATAATTTATTGTAACTTAATAAGTTTTGAATCGTACTTGAAAATATTTTTTTTTATTTCTTACTCTGTGGCAGTTGTTGCTGACCTGTTGCTTTCAACCCTGACTCACAGAGTGCTCTGTCTTGACTTTATTTCACTTGCTAGATCATACCGCTGACAATCATCAGTTTTCACATGTAAGGATAATAGCAACCTTTCTGTTTGGGTAGCCAGACCTTGTTTTCTCTTTTGCTTTTGAGAGGGTATGCCCCTCTCTCAATACAGAGGTTCTCAAATTTATCTTTTCATTTTTTTCTTAGTGATGCCACAATTTGTTTGTATTCATGGTGATGTTTTGTTAGCAAAAATACTTGTGTATATGCAGAGGAAGAAAATTAAAAGCAATTTTTCAATATCTAATAAATAAATATCTATAGCCTTTTCATTTGGGAAAAAATTGAAAATACATTATTGAAACCAACTCATCACACTACATAAAATAATGTCACAGGCACACATGCACACTTATTAAATATTCCATAAGTCCCTCTAAAACTTTTAATATATATTTTTCATCTCCAGAATGTATGTTTTATGTCAGATCACATCAAATTCCAAATGTGTTCTAATGGTTTTGAAGATATCCAGCTGGCCATTTCCAGAAAGAGAGGGTATTATTAATCAAAGTAAAGATGAAAAATATAACTTTATTATAGAAATCATACAGGTTGGAAGAATTTAGATAGGAACTAAGTTGATAGTATAGAAAAGTTACCTTCAACTAAAAAACTCATTATTGGCAATGCCTTGGAAATCTTTAAGATGGTTGTCAATTTTGTGAAAATGTCTCTCAAGTTCCTTTGAAATAAATGCCATAAAATATGGAAAAAAAATCCCAAATTCTTGCTTGATATATTTTAGGCCTGTCTACTCTGTTACCCACCTGCCACACACTATAGGACATATTCATACCGCAATGCAACTTTTGATCCTTCACCCTGATACCGTCTTGCCAGGTCCTTTTGCACAATGTGTGGTAGGAGTACAAGGACCCGTTCTTGACCAGGGCAGCTAATGTAATCATGCATAGATGTGACTGCAGGTACCGAATATCTCACTAAATCCAAGTTAAAAATATCCCCAGGTCAACCTTCCCTTAGCTGGATATCAAAAGTTCCCATGGCAGCCATAAGTAGTGTGGTATAAGAGAAGCTGAAGTGGAAATAAAAAGCAATCATAATGGATTACAGTTAAAATATTTTATGTTTCACAGATTTCACAAAAACATAAGACCATGTGGACACATATTCTTTAGAGCACCTTTTAGGACCTTAGAAAACGTCTATGCAAGTGAGGGTCTCTGGAGCAGTGCTGCATTAATTTCATGCCTTTATATGGAGAAAATTTTCTATATTGTATAATTTTTCAAACATCAGCACTCTATTTCTATTTTGGTAATTTTATTGTTCGTGTGCACTTTATGGGATGTCACTGTAAATCCTTTTAAAAAGCCAGTGGTATTGGGGTGCCTGGGTGGCTTGGTTGATTAAGTGTCCAACTCTTGATTCCAATTCTAGGATCGTCATGCAGCAGCTCGGGAAAGCTGTTCTATGTTAAGACAAATTGTAATATTAATCTATGATATAAACTGTCTTGTATCTATTCTAGTTTGATATTAGTAGTTTGTGAGGAATCCTGTAGTTTTCATTTGAATGACTTCAGTTCCTGTAGTTTGCATTTGAATGGTGTCAGTTTATGTCCACTTTTCAATTTGACCTAAGGAAGCACTACTAGGTTTTGAGT